AACATATGTTTTCCGTGCTTATCATTTCCCCTTCTTCATTGACAGTTTTTCCTCAATTACAAGTTTTTAAGTAGTCAAATGAGATCTATCATTTATCTGTTTATGTCTTTTCCTATTAATGTTCGTGTATGTCCTATCTGTTTACATCTACATGTAAGTACAGATACTAGCATTAAAATTCTTTGTTAAATGTCTTTTTTATCTAAGATTATTTATTTTTCATTAATGAAAACAACGTTTAGTAAATATACAGTGAATACTTACATATTGAGACGTAAAAGTCAAGACCTTTCATCATTTCCGCCATTCCTATGCGCATGCATCATTGCGCATCGGAAATATCCTGTTTGGATGCGCGCGCATCAGCGCGCGTCTAAAATATCAAATGTGTGTTATGGCAGACGATAAAAGTGTGTGATGGTGTAACACAATTTCACATCTCACTATTCTTCTGAGGACTTTCACCAAATTTCACCACGTGATGTAGCTCGATATTTTGTGACGATACAAGCAATTTTTTTCCGAGGACGTGGAGAAAGTCCTCGGAAGAAATTTACGTCCTCGGAGTAAAGGTGTTTTTTCACACCATAGTCCTCGGGTGATCGGTGAAACCAACACACACACCCTCACACACACACACACACACCCTCACACACACACACACACACACACACACACATATATATATATATATATATATATATATATATATATATATATATATATATATATATATATATATATATTGACAGACCGGAGAGCTACAGTGCTACCCACTGAAAAAAGTGTATATTTATTGCATACAAAATATTGCGCTGTTTTTCGATTTATTTCTCCGTGTTTTTCAAACTGCCATCTCAAAAAATAAAAAATTTACTAACGTGTTTCTAACATACTCTTTAACTATTTAACACAACAAAGCATTCCTTATAATCCTTGTTTATAGACCTCCTTGGTCTGAAATTGAGAACATTGAAAAATGCGCTTATTTATTTTGCCATTTAGTGTTGCAAGATAATTCGGTCAAACGCGCTTCCTGAAGATGTCAACTACAAGAGTAGTTGATAGACGTCTAAGGAATTTTTTGAAATCGAACTTTTGTGCAGTTGAGGTAAGTTTTTGAAGAAATTAATCCAGTACTGAGCTCAACTTTTTGTTTTTTCAATGGGTGGCACTATTCGATTTGCACGAAACGCTGCATAGTTTACTGGAAACACTTTGCGCGATAAGATGCACATATCATTGATAGCACTGCGTTTTCTTTTCTGAAAAAGAATTTGTTTTTCTTGCATTGTTGCATTAAAATGATTTTTTTTCCAGATTGTAGTTCAGATTTGATTATAATTTACAAAATTAATAAGTACACAGCATCAAATGGGAACATTACAGAGGTTATTTCGTTTTTGGGGTTCGGTTGGAGGGGAAATCAAAGGTGGGGGGGGGGGGAGATTACTCTGATACTACAAAAAATGTATTATGAAGCTTTACTGAGCTCAAGATAATATGCATATCCAAGAACCTGGTGAATCCAGAATAATATTCATAAAATGCAGTTTATGCAGAACAGTATATAAAATGTTTCATTACAGAGTTAAACTCACATATGATTTTTAAAAAAAAAATTAGAATTTTATATGGGAGAAAAGCCAAGGAAGAGAAATGTAATGTGACTGGCAATGACCAATGAGTGAACGCTGAACGCACGTCGAACGCAAAGTGAACGAACGGTGAGCGAACGCTTAACATTAATTTTAAACATTAACATAAAAACTGTGAACGCTGAAAAAACACTGAAGGAACGGAGAACGCACGTTGTCCTAAATGTTAAGAATCGGGGAGCGAACAAAAAGCCGGGAAAATAGAACGCTGCAGGGACTATTTATTAGCATAAATTTCCTATAGTTGTTTCGGAATAAATGAAATTATCAGAGATGTCAATTAACTCAGATAGTCTAGTCGAATAATCGAGGATTTTAGTCGAACGATAGTCGAGTACTCGTTAAACTTATTTTTCTCATGTCAGTGTTGCTTTATGTCCTTTTCAAACTGCTTATAGATTCAATCTTAAAACCAAGCTACTGTCATGGACAACGTATTTCTCAATATAAATATTTACGAGGGTTGTCCCAGAAAAATGCGAACATTCTCAATATTTTTGGTTTCACATATTATGAAGTTAAAAATTGGTATGGATTAAAATCGACATTTTAAAAATAATTCACAGAAATTTCTGTTAAAATATTTCTATAAATAAAATGTTTGTCTTTGGTAAACGAATCATTCAAAATAGCTGTCGACGCAACACCGACGACGTCAAGACGTAGCTCGTGGATTTTTTTTCAATTTTTTCAGGAATCGCGCGTCTTTAAAAATTCGTTCAAAGCATAAATTCAATACTGCATTTTATTTTTTTTTAGTTACCAAGTTATCCATTTCACATATACTACAGTTAAGAATAAATCAAGGAATAAATTCTTTTAATTGACAATTTCCAAACCCCGATTATAAACCTAACTGCTCGAATACTTAACGGTGAACTCCACGTCCAGCTCTAGCCTTTTCAGTTTGTCGTCATTTTTGACGGTGGACCAAACGCTTCTTCCATCGGATAATCAGTCCATTCATCTTTGAACCTACCTCTTTAACTATGTATAAACCTGTGATTGATACAAGTATTTGTGTCGTTCCTTCGTTCCCAGCTCTTTTTCCGTATGAACAGGAGTCAAACACCGCTCCACACAACACTGAGTGATGATTTGGTGCGCCGCATTATCGCTCAACGCCGCCGTTTCTGGCAATATCTAATTAATAGTGTTTGTGCATATAACCTCATGTTTTTGTTATTTACGATGTCAGAGTATTGATTTTTTTTTTACGCAGGAGAACTCTAGATCATAAAGTTTCTAAGGATATAATTTTTGTAACATTATATTTCCGTATAGCCTGGTAATAACGAAAACATTGCTGTCAATGCTATTTTTGATTATCAAAAAATTACTCTTCGCTATCCACAAATATTTAATACCCTTTAAATGTTGTTTTTAAAAGCAAATGGCATTGGAACTTTATTTTATTTTGCAAAAATGACAAAAATATCATTTTTCAATATTTTGCCAAAAATGAATAATTTTGGTAATTATTTATGAAATATTTAAAAAGTTCGCGTTTTTCTGGGACAACCCCCGTACTTAGTTTAACTTATCAACTCGAAATACTTGTACTACTTGTATCTAAATTCATTTTTTGTACCTTATATTTTATTCAAAAACACTGTATTAAATACTATGCATATGGCTTGTCATTTCTTATCTGGACGCTAATGCATATAATTTATCTACACTTCTTGAAGCCATTTAAACGCGTCTAATTCCAGCTAAATTTTTTACCCGTAACTAGAAAATAGTTGGGGTACGGATGAAAACATTAAAAAAAAAACTGGGGAGTTTGTAAAGTGCATAATATTAATTATACAATTTGTTCAAACAATAAATCCAATCATGAAATTAATTCATGTTAGACATCAAAAGAAATATCAAAGGATGCACACATCCATCTCCCCAATTACAGGTATGATTAAGTATGTTATCAATTAAATAATTTGTTCCATAACATTAGAGGATCTTGGCTTTGACATCAATATAGACCAGACCAGAAAAAAGTCGATTTATTAACTTGAACTTAGACTGACTACTAAATAGCGCATGTCGGCATGACCGACCTCGGTTTATACGGTCTCATGCGAAGGACCTGTCTCCTCGTGTTCTGGAGATGAGTTGTGCTGCCCCGTACCATTCACCTTTGTGATCAAAATGTTTACATCAATTTTGAAAAAAAAGAATAATATACTCTTTCAATTTGTACATTGTAATAAATAAAAAAAATATCTACATTCCACATGCTGGTGGACTGTTAGTCCCCGATGGTCTCTACAGCCCAGTAGCATAGTGCTTCGGTACTAGCTTGAAAATAAGGATACATAGTTGATTGCTGTGGTAAATTTTAGAAATTTATTTCAAAATTAAGGATTACCTCTCTCATGTATAGCTCTGATCCTTCGACGTATTTGGCTCCAGTCTTTGGCATTCCCTCCCCTTTTTCAGCTCTTCAATTTTTTTTTTAATTTAAATATTTCGGATTTCCAACTTTTCGGGCATAAGCATCACTGAAGGGACATAATTTGTCGAAATGCGCATCTGGTTGTGGATGTAAATCATATACGGTACCAATTTTGATGCACCAGATGCGCATTTCGACAAATTATGTCTCTTCAGTGATGCTCCTGCCGAAAAGTTGCAGAACTATAGCCCTCCAGACAGAGAGCTACAGTGCCACCCATTGAAAAAAAATGCATATTTGTTGCGCACAAAAATGTGCGTTGTTTCTCGATTTATTTCTCCGTGTTTTTTCGAATTGCCATCTAAAATATTACTTACCGTGTGTTCCTAACATTTTCTTTTACTATTTCCACAACAAAACATTCCTTATAACCGTTGTAAATAGCCCTCATTAGCCTGAAATTGAGAACATCGAAAATTTTGCCTATTTACACGACTATTTGGGGGGGGGAGGCAAGATAATTCGGTCTAACGCGCTTCGTGCAGGTATCAAATATGAGAGTAGTTGATAGAGGTCAAAGGAATATTTTGAAATCGAACTTTTGTGCAGTTGCGGTAAGAATTTAGAAATATTAATCCTAAATCAAGTGCAAATTTTTGTGCACAATAAATATACATTTTTTTCTATGGCTGGCATTGTAGCTCTCTGGTCATCCATCCCAATTCTTTTTCAGATTAGCGAGCTACAGATCTGCAGCTAGTGAACTAGCTGCTCAAAATAACAATATTCATCTATTGTCTCATTCAGTAAATGCATATTCTATTTCCCTATTAATATTCTGTAAAACTTTTAGAAATAGTTAAAACTCTTTTGTGGTTTTTTGTTTATATATGCAATTTGTACATATTTTCTGCATCCTTTCCCAAGTTGGTATTTCATTAATAATGACACGCCCTGGGCAAATCGCTGTCTCAATTCTTTCAGAAGCAGGAACTTTAATGGTAAGAAAGCAAAAGATATGTTTTCCTACAAACTCAAAAATCCTCTATTTCCAACTAATTGGTGTAAAATTTTCCTACCATAAATACTTCCTAAGTTATGTCATTAACTCTTTTAAAATCTCTTTTGGACAAATAGATTTTTGTATTTGATTTTCTACAGGCATTTCAATGAAATAGAAGGCATTTTAAACACTAAATACATGTTAACTTTTACATACTTTGCACATTAGTGTTATCTATTTTTCTAAGAAGAGATGAAAGTATAGTTATGGCGAATATGTGTTTGTTTGTTGTCCCTCTCGAGAATATTTCACTTATATGGAGACGCCACCACTTGCCGGTGGAGAGCTACAAATTTTTACGTATGCTCGGCACTCAGGGCCATTGAGCAGTGAGGGATCTTTTTTTTTTTTGTGCCAGCACCTACTGCGACATGGGACCTCGGTTTATACGGTCTCATCCGAAGGACTGGTCAATACGTCCCACAGTGGGATTCGAAATCGCGACGTAAATATCAGCTCCTTACTCCGCGACTATAGAGCAGACGCTGTTATGGCGAATGAGGAGATTCCTTAAAATCTTGAAAAAATATTTAAATTAAATCAATGACGTGCAGTGTGAATATTGAAGTACATTTTTTTCCAGGATGATGATCAAGAAGGGGCAGCAGAAAGTGCCATGGCTCGAGACGAACCACTCGAGCTCACTGAGAAACTTGATGATTTTGTGCTCAGACCAGCCCCTCAAGGCCGTGTTATGAAGTGTAGAATCACACGTGACAAAAAAAGCGTGGATCGAGGATTTTATCCCACTTACTTTCTCCATTTAGAAAAAGATGATGGCAAAAAAGTTAGCTGCCAGATAATTTTGGATTTATTTTTCAATTACTAAGTATATCTAAATAACTCTTCCTGTAAGATTTGAAAGAACTTTTTTTTTAAATGTAGTATATATGGTTTATACTTTGGTAAATATACTTCCGTATGATTTGCACCGATTATAACATTTCAGAATTAAAGGCAATGAATTTCACTAAAATTAAACGGTTTGTATGATCATAAATTAGTACAAAAAGCATCTCCTGTGTACATAATAAAATGTTTGAATATGAAAATACGTCCACAGATGTACGTTTTTAAAGGTATTTTTACTGGTTGGAAGAAAGAGAAAGAAAACAAAAACTTCAAACTACCTGATATCCACGGATCCTACAGATCTGTCCAGGGGAGGCAAGGCCTTTGTAGGAAAACTCAGGTAATACTTACCTCCCTTATCGGAAATTTGTGAAAGTTTTACAGAATTGTTGAATATACAGAAAATCACTTTTCATATTAAAAACTTATTTTGTGTATTTTCACGAAACTCATTTCAAATGAAAGTGACATCCAGAGACGCGAAAAAGAAAAACATTTTATGCATGTTTTCAAACCTAAACTTAACAATTTATCGTAATCGTAATCACAGTTGTTTTCATTCTACAAATTTCCCGCATTGTTTAACTATGACGTCACTATAGAATTTGTGTTCCGCTTATTATGACGTTATGTTACCTATTGTAAAGCTTCTGAAGATTGAAAATGAAAGCGCTAAAGCTTTACTAAACGTTTTCGTGTTTCATTTTTTAAAATTGTACCTATATATATATATATATATATATATATATATATATATATATATATATATATATATATATATATATATATATATATATATATATATATATATATATATATATATAGTGTCCTACACTACACGATCATTTGGATGGAGGTGAAATACATTTATTTGGACATTAGTTTTTATTAGAGGATCATGTTAGTTTGAGAGTTGTTGTAAAATTTTTGCTTTATAAATAAAAATTAATTCATTACAATGCGTATCGGTAACGATCCTCTAATAAAAATTAATGGTTCAAGTGATTAACCAATTTTGTATGTTATAGAGCGAATTTTTTAGGGACCCAGTTCACTTTGTTTGACAATGGTGATAATCCAAAAAGCAATTATGAAAATGCTAGAAAAGAATTAGTTGGAATCTCTTACGTAAGTATGAAATAAAAACTTTTTTATACATATGTTTGTTTCATTGATGTATACTGAATTTAATTATTATTCACCAATTATTTCCAATTTTGAAATCAGGTATTTCTTTTTTTTTTTAATTTACTTTCTAAAATCTGAAATCATTATTAACATTCTTTGTGCCGCGGGCCTATTTTGGGCCTATTTTCAAAAACTACGTTAAGTTCCATGGGCCTATTTTGGGCCTACTGTTAAATCATTACGTCACAGGTAAAACTGATTATGACGTTCCGTCATCATTCTGAGCTTCGCGCCATTTTTGCCTCTTGTTAAAGAAAACAATCAATAATTTTACCATTCTATTACTGAAAAATTATCTGAAAGAAAGGAATTTTAAACGGGTATTTCATTTGTCTTGATCTTTAGAAAATGTGAACAATGCATTCTGATTTGAAATTAAGTAATTTCATGTCACAGATGTCTTAGATTCCTTATTTTACGCGAGTACTTAATATCGTGAAATGGCCCAATAACGTCAAATCGCGAGAACAATAATTCGCGAATGAGTGATTTATCTAGAGATTTTACATACATTAAAGCACCATAAAAATAAATGCGAGTAGTTTTATTTGGCGAGTGGTGCTATTCGCTAATTACGCGATAATTTATTCCTCGCGTATACTTAGGAATCTACAGTTATCAAAGAAATTCGGCAAAGATACAAGGAACTTTACAATTAAACCTTCAATTCTCGAATACATGTAGTCAGTGCATGACATTGCCAATTGCCGGAGAAGACTGCTTATGTCCATTGAGCAATTACGGCTCTTATTTCTGCAAGAAACGACTGTGACATAGAACCTCTGCTTGTTTATATGTTCCCATCCAATTAATTCCATCAATTCTGTTTGTTCAAATGACCAATACAGGTTTCTTTTAGGCATGAATTATTGATTTTAACTGGCGGGGGGGGGGGGGGTATTACTTTTGCGCATGCTTCTTGTGTCAGATTATAAAATTAATGCAAGAATTGTGGTATAGGTATTTACAATCAGAGGGTAGGCAAAATATCTTGTCGGTCGAAATTTGGGCAAGTACCACCCCATCCCCCCGGCAAAACCCCTAATATCTTGATTTCCTCTCAACGTAACTTAAACTATAGTAGTAATATATTACTTTATTTTCTAACAGCTATGCGTGGCATTTCTAATGAGTTAGATATGTCAATTAGCGTTTCCCTTTGCTCAAAAGTCCACAATCCACAACCTCTCCGTTGTAATTTTGAAAAATCATAATATACTTATATATACAGTTGTAACCTTGTCCGTTATTTATCTACCATGTTATTTCAGTTGTAGGATCGCTCATTAAGTGATGCCGATCGGCAAATGTTCAGCATGTACTCTGAATAACATATGAAAACTTTTATACTTTTTAAGTTCAATTACTACTTACATGTACATGCACATTGTAAGTTACATGTTGACGGAATATTTAGGTTTAACAAATGAAATGCTTCTTAATTTTTTAAGGACCTTGAAGGTGTTTATATATCTAGCACCAAATACATGCACATTGTAAGTTACATGTTGACGGAATATTTAGTTTTAACAAATGAAATGCTTCTTAATTTTTTAAGGGCCTTGAAGGTGTTTATATATCTAGCACCAAATTCAAAGCACAGGCACTTGTTTCTTTGATATTTTCTTTAACCCATAGCATAAAAATAGCATTATTACTCTACGGGTCAAAAAATTATTACAGAAACAAATGCCTGTGATTCAAGTCATAAACACGGTAGAAAAATGTTGTAATAAAATCACAATAAAGGACAAAATAAGTTTTAATAAATCAAAGTCTTTTCATTTGATTGACTCAAACAATCCACAGATTGCATACGAGTTACCGTTCAAGGGTGGTAAGGACGAAGAAAACTTACTGTTGGAAGTAACGTACGTCTTAGTCGGTGTATATCAGGTTATTATTTATAACACGATTACAAAATGTGAAAGGAAAAGATCAACATATAAACGTTTGAACAAATATAAAATAATAAAATCTAAAACAATACAAGTGATTCAGGGAAAGGTGTGAGTGTGCACAGGCCCGTATAACGCGGGGGGGGGGGGCACACTATTTTTTAATATCATATCCTTAATGTGATGCTGCCCCCACATACTTTTTTGCTGTAAGGTCAAGCACTGGTGAGTTCAATAGGTTTATTGAATGTGCACCAAAAAAGTAAGACCCCCCCCCCCCCCACACACACACACACAGACACATACGAAATAGGATTTTTGCGTTCGGAACAATGTTTTTTTTTTTAGCTTGTCAGATTTTTCGTGAAGATCCCCCCCCCCCCCCCCCCGACTTTTAAAACTATTGCTACGGGCCCGGTGCATGTGATAATATCAAAGGTCTACGTTCAAAAAATATGTATTAGGTGTACGAACCGAAATTAACCTTTTTCAAGTCCGATAGAATTTCCATGTTTAAGAACACTTTCACTGGTACATGTAGATCCCAAAAACTTATTAAGTAGTTATTTATGAAACACTGTGTTTCAATTACACTGCACTTTTATACTTTTAACTTTACTCGTGTTGCGATCATTATATTATGCAGTATATACTTGATCCACGGGTACGTGACGTTACATATTGTTCTTATTTAAAAAAAATATATATAACCCCTACCTAATCTACTAAAAACATTATTTGATCATAAATTTTGTTTGTTCTGTAAATGTTTTTTTTTTTTTTTTTTCGGAGAGGCCTGTCGTTGTAGAATTTGTTCTTTTATAATGTCTCTATTTTAACGATTTTCTGCTGACGCGAAAAACCCATTTATACCTAAGTTACCTACATTGTGACGTCACAGTTACGTTACATCATAGTTTCAACGTAATAGAAAACTGTCACGGCACTGTACGTAATTTGAACTGGAAATATGTACGGCACAAAAGGGTTAAATACTGTAAATAAGTTATGAGAGGGTCAGTAAATGTTATAAACTTCACGTCATGTATATTCTAGAGAATTACTCAATTACTTGATAACAATGAATAAATAATTCTGATTCCTCTTCTCAGGGAACAAATGTCTTAGGTCTTAAAGGACCCAGAAAAATGACCATTATTATTCCAGGGATGAATTTGGATCATGAACGAGTAGACATTCAGCCGAGATCTGTAAGTCTAAAAAAGCTGAATGAGTTCTTTCATACTTTGTTACAAGGAGAATTGAGTCCATTCTCTGTCAAAGTTATTAGTCCCCTACTGGTGAAACTAGAGTGGACTATAGACTCCCTCCTAGTCTTTTCATCTGCCTGTCTGCTCTTCTGTCTGTTGAAGTTTTTCCTCGGTCCCGAGGACTTCGGGTATCGAGAGTTACCTGTATATCACGAATACATTGCTTAGTGCAAATAGAGTTTTGTTTGATTTTTAAACTTAATCTGGTTATAATTACACAACCCATAGCTGCAATATAAAGGAGAAAAAAAGAGGGATAAAAAATGAAATTGTTCTTGTTTTGCTTATCTAAACAGTATTTATATAGTTTTGCAACTCCTTGCTGGTTTTTTGATAAATCTGATTTAAGAATGTTTATGAAAGATGGTACATGCTCAACAAACAATAAAACTGATAGTGCTTACTCGGTCATACATAATCATTGTTTTGAAATTCATCAATTGACTAAGTAATAAACTATAAATGAGATACTGATGTGGAAAAGTATTGAATTGTGTTTTGCAGGACAATGAAGGCTTGATTGACAGATACAAGAGAAAAAATATGGAGAATATACTGGACCTCCACAACAAGACCCCTGTCTGGAATGATGGTAAGTCGTCAGAATGAAATTAAGTCGGCTCAGTAGTGGAATACACATATTACAACAAATCATTATCAATTGAATTGCAATTTCTAGAATATAAATCATATAAGATTTTGAAATGAAAAATATCAATCTACTGAATGCCTTGTATCGGTATCCGTTACAGTTGTTGATGTGAAATGATTGGAATAGGTTATGCACTGCTAAATTTCCTGTCCTCTTAGGAAGTTTTAACAATACTGGAGAAATAACTGTGTAAATGATTTTGTATTCTCCGTTGTAGAGACTCAATCGTATATACTAAATTTCCATGGACGAGTCACTCAGTCTTCTGTAAAAAAAATTTCCAAATTGTGCATGACAATGATGGTAAGAATTAGGTTGCTAAAGTCAGCAAATTTACTAACGTTTTTCATTGAGTAACATTTACAATATTTCAAAATGACTAACTTGGTTACTTGCAAGTTAGAATAACTCTTGCAAACAAGAAACTCTGTTGTATTAATACAGAAAAGGAAAAAAATCAATTAGGGTTAAATTTATTAATTTATATGCAATACATTCTGATTTCATACGAATTTCGTTATCAGACTTTCATATCAATAAATACTGTGGAAGTGTTCCAATGTACTTTTTTATTTAACGTCTTTGAAGAAATTTATTCATTTGAAAGAGCAAAAAAATATTCTGTCAGAAATATTCCTACAGAGAAAATAAATAATCAGTCCTTTTCTTACTTTCAGTTGACTATATTGTGATGCAGTTTGGCAGAGTAGCGGAAGACGTGTTTACCATGGATTTTAATTACCCTCTTTGTGCTGTTCAAGCTTTTGGAATAGCGTTGAGTAGTTTTGACAGTAAACTAGCCTGTGAATAACCCCTAACCCCCATATCTCCACCCCACTCACCAACATCTGACACACAGCTCAATCCAATCTCATATTTTTTTTTTATCTGTGCCGATAAATGTAGTGTTTCTTTGCTTCTTGTGTGAAAGTGGTTAATTATGACTTGGTTATGAAATTGCACTAAAAAATAATGGGTCCACATATTATATTTATCCATAGTTGTAAAAGGAATACATTCATTTAAAATTTTACATGGCAGGAATACATTAGGAAGTTTTATTATTATTCTGGCTCGGACTGTGTTCAATCTCATCTGACTTTGTGTTCATTTTTTTTTTAATTTTGTAGAAAAATAAGTAGTGTACATTTTTTTTCTAGTTCCGGAGTATACAACTTACTAGGATATTGTTAAATTGGGAGAAAAAAGTCTTTAAAAATCATACAATTTTCTTTCTTTTTTTTCAATTCTTAATTTTATTGGAAAAAAGGTTGTTTTAGGTCATTCTTTGTGGTTTGAAATTTCATTCAAAATGTTGCAATATCATAGATCAATTTATTTATATCAGACTCATTTCCCCCTTGTGCTATCCCGAACAGTTGAAGTGGACTACTTAAAACCAAGATGGATCATTCCTTCTGTGTAACTTATGATTAAAGTATTTCCTTCATAAGTAGTTGACCAGGGAATTCCAGTTTTTGTTAGAATTTGAGCTTGTAGTGTTTTCTCTAAGAGAATTTAATTACATTGGAAAATATTTTTAATGTGATGATCTGTTTGTTGGATTAAGAAGTGTGCGTTTAGGGAATTCCAGTTTTTGTTAGAATTTGAGCTTGTAGTGTTTTCTCTAAGAGAATTTAATTACATTGGAAAATATTTTTAATGTGATGATCTGTTTGTTGGATTAAGAAGTGTGAATGAAACGCAAGTTTTCATCGTGTGAGTGAAAAAATCACATGACTATCCATCAATATGATAATCAAGGTCACAATCGAATTGATTGAATATTAATAATCATGGTGTGTTTTTGCTTAAATGTAGGTATTGTGATTTGATTTTGTATATCACATGATTTCTAAGTACTATTGTGACATTTTTTTCCCCGTCCATATGCATATCACATGGGCATTTTAGTAACACCCCCCTTTTACGGTTGTCGCATGACAGACATAAACGTGAGGCAACAAAACTTTTTCCCCATTAGTCTTGAAAATCCCAGTTTGTTGTATTTTATATTGTGGTTGTGATGAATAGAAAAAAAAAACATCCAACATATATAAGATTATAATTTAGTGATTTTTTATAACAAAAAATATTTGTATACGACTTGTTGTTATGGTGTTGGCTTTGCCAATTGTGCAATCTTCTCTCTCTCTCTCTCTCTCTCTCTCTCTCTCTCTCTGCCCAATACACTCACGTCAATAAAATTGCACTAGCAAGAAAACACATTTGGCATATCTGTTAATATTGGCTGAATTAAACTTGAGTTATGAGGCTTCTAGACACACTTGTAAAATATGCTGATTACATCATTTTTCAAGTCAGTTCTTTCTTTTTTATATATAGCAAAACAAGGAAATGCATAACTTTGTTAGGTAAATGTGTTGGTTTTTTTTTTTTTTTTTTTATTTTATATTTTTTCAATAGAGTTGCAAACAATTTTAGAAGAAACAAACCTATTGAATAACCTATATACAATACATATACTACACTGTGTCAAGTGTTTATGAATACTAATGACAAAGAAAAGATGTAACAGTACTTAATTATTGGGAGGGGAAATTTTATCAGCAGATTGTCAGTAGACACAGGACAGAGTGATGTCCCTTTACCGTTGTGTTTCAGGTTATATCACTGTTATTCTTGCAAAAACTTGAACTTTTTAATTAACCATTCTGGCCAAAGTTTTCTGATTAAAACATGTTAGATAAAATCTGTATATTTTCATCAGAAAAAAATATTGAAGAGAATTTACATTGATTAAATTCCCATATTACATGTATTTTTACCTGTATATTGATTACTTACCTAATTGTGATATGTACAGTATTAGTGTGAAGTAATTTATTTATTAATATTAAATTATATTAATTGTTAATATGCTATAATATTTTTGAAATACATATTGAGTGAACAGCTAGTAGATATCTTGATTTGAAGCTATTTAAGAATGTTAATTACTAAATCTTTAAAAATTTAATTTAGCTTTAAATGGCATGTTAAGCTAAAAAATACAGTCTTTAAAGTCTACTCTCAGTCATATTAATTTTTATAAAATTAAATGAAAATTTATGGTTGTTGTAAAAGCAAATATAATACATACAAGTATTCTTTGTGAAATCTGTATTGATATTTGATTATGAATTAAGATTTGGTAAATAAAACATTGAGTGCAATTCTGAGTTATCCCCCTTCCCCAGTGATTTGTTATTTTCTTATTTTTGTTAGCTTTATTGCCTGCCAGATTTTAAAAAGAAAACGGGATTCAACCTTTACAGAGTATTATCTGTATTGTATTTAAAATGATAAAATTTTGTACCAACTTGAACTTTTAACTTTAAAGTTTTGTATAATTTGCCACGAAGTTGTACCGTGGCATTGTACATTGTTAGGCTTGAGTTTATCTTATTTAGTTTTGAAGTACAAGTTCATAAGCAAAATATCTAATTAATCCATAACAAAAGGGAATTTTTTTTTGTAACTTCAAATTTACAAATTTTTCAATCCAAAAATATTAAGACGTAAGCATGAAATAATTGCTTTAACTTAACATTTCAGAGAAAGTCTTCTTTGGGCAAAATTAAAGTATCCTGTATATTTTGTGGTCTTTTTTCATTGAATATATCCTAAAGCAAATCTGAAACAGGAAAAGAGATTTTAAACTCATATGTTTATCATTATTTTATTACTGAATGAGTTTAGTTTTCAGTAAAAAAAAATCAGTTTTGCACTTCTCTGTGGAGAATTAAATTTCCTAGGTTGTATCCCCCCACCCTTACATCAGAAGTTGTCTGGTGTATAGTGTCGATCAAGACAATGTCCGTCCATGTATCTATTGATTGTACGATTATTATTTGTTTCTATAAGTTGACCATTTATTTATCATTGTCAGTATATATTTCACAGTTTGTCGAAATTAAAATGTGCCACATCTACATCCTGTTTTGTTATATATGTGTGTCTTGATGATGACTTTACAAAGGATTACTGATACCAAGCAAAAATATGTTCAGTGCTACCTACTGGAAAATATCGCATTTTTTTAACATATAAAATTCGTTGGTAGGTAAAATTTTGTGTATTTTTTCATAATTAGTTTTTTTTAAAAAAGTTAATGGATTAAAAACTTTATACACACAGTTTTAAAGAAAGGGGGGGGGGGTGAGAAGAATGTATCCTGACTGCTATACAACAATTATCAGATAAACAACTCAAGAACAATTATACATAATCAACATAGCACACATATTAGGATACATATAACACTTCATCTGGACGCAGTCGCCCACGTGGCACAGTGGTTAGAGCGTCTGCTCTAGAGTCGCGGAGTAAGGAGCTGATCCTTACGTCGCGGGTTCGAATCCACTGCGGGACGTGGAGACCGGTCCTTTGGATGAAACCGTATAAACCAGTAGGTGTTGGCACAAAAAAAAATCTCTTACTGCTCAATGGCCCTGAGTGCCGAGTTTAGGTCAAAATTTGCACCTCTCCACCGGCAAGTGGTGGCGTCTCCATTTGAGTGAAAAATTCTCGAGAGGGACGTTAAACAACAAACAAAAATCATCTGGACGCAAGAGATTAATATGATATTGTTAGTATTGTTTTAGAAAGTTCAATTGAATTTCTCAAGTAAAGATTTTTTTCTAAAATAGATTATTTAAAAAAACAGAGGAACCCCATGTTTGTTCAATCAAAATTAAATATATACAAGATATAACTTTTTTTCAGCATATTATGTCCTTATGTCTTGTTCCTAAATTAGCTTTTCTTGAGGAAGCTCTAAACAATGCTCGCTGTAGAGTTTTTATTTCATGGTAGTTTTATGCTAATTGAGTGATCTGCCCTTTGATGTAAAAAAAAAATGGAATAAACGGAAATCTACAGTAAATTATACAATCTGAAATACCTTAAAGTACTCTTAATATCATATTATACCAAGTTAGAGTAGTTAAAAAAC